GCTGCCATAAATACCAGCTACAACCTCCGACGACTATCCTTTACCATGTGAATAGAACAATAACCAGAACTCAAATGAACATGACCCTTAACCAGATTAATTACACACATGGCTCTAAACCAATCTAGCCATCATTTCTAGACCACTACTTCCACACTCATAAAAATCAAAAAATTAAATCACCATGATCTCTACCAATACAGTAGAGTATAGTAAAGAGAGGTTTGTAGCCGATTCAATTACCCAACAAATAATGCAAAATGTAGATCAAATATAAACCAAAACACGTAAAATCTGGAAAAATTTAACCCAAAATAATATGATATACGCATTTATAAAACTTGTTTCCAAGTTCCCAAGTCACATCATTCTAAGTTATTCTTCCCAATGTATAAACATGTAAACAACTCCTTTTCCAAATCCAAAACAAAAATGTATCCATTTACCCCTGTCCTATCATCTAAACTAAATACATTAACTAAAGTAGAAAAAGCGAAACACAAACAATAGCATAAAAGATTTATAGGAGTGTGAAGTTGTTAATACATCAATAACACAAACATCAAAGGATTTAACCCCATTCAAGAGACATTGAATATGGAAATGCAAGAAAATCCAGAAAACTAACAGTAATAATCTGGCAACCATCACTACTCTAATCCGAATTTAACTTCTCATTTATAGTGTTACAAAAAATGTAGAAAACCTAAGCACAAAGTGCCTTTAGATTTCTCCAAAAAAACAGAGAAGCTCTATAGAAGACCTATAAACTACAAAAAAACATAAAGAACACAATCGTCATATCAAAGTTGAAATCAAAATAGGGTGTGTGCCCAATATGTGTTATGTTTACCCAAAAAAAATCCAATAGGAATGAGAGGTAGGAGAGAAAGGGTTCAAATAATTCTTACATGAGAAAAATAGAGAGTTTATGGGAGAAAATCAGAGAGTTGCTAGACAGTAAAGGAACTAGAAAGTAGGAAAAAATTAGAGTTTTTTTTGGCTTAAAACATTTGGTGAAGATTGTTCTGACAATGGAACTAAAACTCCGTTATTGGATCTTAGAAGGCTGTGTTTTTGTATGTTTATTGCTAAAAAAACATACATAAGTTTCTCTTTGTGTTTCTTGATATGATATTGAAGTTATTGATTAAATTGAGTTGTGTTTTGAATAGAATTAATGTGATACCTGTAGCAGATTTTTAGCTACGGTTTTGTGTTCTTGATCCCCTCCAAACAAATGCAAAACAAAGAAAGAAAGTACCTGAGCAACTATTGGATGCCTCTGAACAACGAATCGCGGAAATGAAGAACAAAATCAACAATGATCTTCAGTCTGTTTGGCAAAGAAATGAATAACTTTTATTCAAGTATTATATAAGATGACTACATATTAATCTTCCTGAATTGTCAAGTCCATGTCTCTCCCTCCCCATAAATCACAGATGATAGGAATCTATCGGACCAGGCAAACACCAATGTAGGCGATCATTAACAATTTTTTTCATTCTTATCCTTTGATATGGACCTGGGTGTCCATCAGGCCTCAATAATAAAAGAGGGTTTACATCAAAAAGCTTAAGATTCACCCCTGTTTCAAAGGCTTTAGCTGCTGCTTCCTCGAATTCTTCTAATTCGATATCATGAATAATTTTCATCATCTCATTTAACTCAAACACTCCTTCCTTGAATGGTTCTGTCCTCTTACAATTCCCACCGTCAAGCCAAATCCCATTCTCAAAGTGATGTGGCATTGACATCCTATAAAAGATCTTCCCCTTGTGATTGGAGGTCACAATGAAGTTGAAAACATCCCTGAGGACTTTGCGATAAGCAAAATCAAAACCAAGCTCTGTTAGGTTCTTTCCTGGACAGTAATGGTAGCCTTGTATTTATTTGTTCTCATAGTATATGGCACCTTTAAAAAACTAGAGACCGATAGAGAACACAATGTAATCCAATCCCTAATATTGTTCAGTCCATGTCTCCCCCCCCCCCCCAAAAATCACAAATGATTTACACTTGGAAATTAATAATGCATTTTCTTTGAAGCAAACTAATAAACACGTGGTGGGTGTTGATGATATGAAGGGTGGAGGCAAAGTAGGAAGGGGAAAATGAGAGAGGTAAGAGAGAAGTGGTCTATTCAAAGTAAAACTTTACATGATCAAAAAATCCAGAGTGTACCTGAAATAACGGATCTTTTGTGTCTGCCTTTCTCCTCTCCTTCTCTCTCTATGCCTTTCGTTTGTCTCTATGTTAGTTGTAGCCGTCCTAATGCCACTATTATGAGTAAGATTTGAGATTGGAAGAAGATTTGAGATGGATTCTATGTGATAGAGACATGAGAGAGAGGCAGAAGTGAGAGGGAGAGGTGCGAGAGAGAGAGAAGCAAAAGAGAGATAGAGGCAGAAGTGAGAGGGAGAGGCGTGAGACACAGGCCTGTGTTGGGCGGGAAAGAAAAATATAGCACTCATTGTTGACCATTAGATCATAATTTTTTAGATAACTTGAACCGTCTTTTATATTGAGATTACATTATCTGTTGACTATATTTATATTTTGTCTTAAAATTATCTGGACCTCTCTTTGTCTTTTGAATTCAAACTTCGTTCTACTTTATTATATAGATATATGAGATAAAATGAAAGTCAAATTAGGACCATTAAGACAAACAATGTTATCTCATACTTTCTCTTTTAGTATTTTTGTTTGTCTTGACAATTCTAATTGGACTTATTTACTCAAAACATTTGTATGATTTTATAGATGAAAAAAATATTTAAATATTAAAAAAAATTTTCAAGTTGTTGGTATTTAAACGCCAAGCTAATCACTAATAAAAAAAAGAGTCAAGCTAATCGCCAATAAAAAAAATTAAAAGTTAAACTAATCACCAATAAAAACAAATTAGAAATCAAACTAATCACCAATTAAAAAAAATAAGTATTACCAATTGTACCAAAAAAATAAAAACAATTCATGACCAAGCTAATCACTAATAACAAATAACAAGTGATATCAATTGTAAAAAAAAAAATTAAAAAATTATGCACACAAATTTTTTTTTTCTAAATCAACTATCAATTTTTTTTNGTAGCCGTCCTAATGCCACTATTATGAGTAAGATTTGAGATTGGAAGAAGATTTGAGATGGATTCTATGTGATAGAGACATGAGAGAGAGGCAAAAGTGAGAGGGAGAGGTGCGAGAGAGAGAGAAGCAAAAGAGAGATAGAGGCAGAAGTGAGAGGGAGAGGCGTGAGACACAGGCCTGTGTTGGGCGGGAAAGAAAAATATAGCACTCATTGTTGACCATTAGATCATAATTTTTTAGATAACTTGAACCGTCTTTTATATTGAGATTACATTATCTGTTGACTATATTTATATTTTGTCTTAAAATTATCTGGACCTCTCTTTGTCTTTTGAATTCAAACTTCGTTCTACTTTATTATATAGATATATGAGATAGAATGAAAGTCAAATTAGGACCATTAAGACAAACAATGTTATCTCATACTTTCTCTTTTAGTATTTTTGTTTGTCTTGACAATTCTAATTGGACTTATTTACTCAAAACATTTGTATGATTTTATAGATGAAAAAAATATTTAAATATTAAAAAAAATTCTCAAGTTGTTGGTATTTAAACGCCAAGCTAATCACTAATAAAAAAAAGAGTCAAGCTAATCGCCAATAAAAAAAATTAAAAGTTAAACTAATCACCAATAAAAACAAATTAGAAATCAAACTAATCACCAATTAAAAAAAATAAGTATTACCAATTGTACCAAAAAAATAAAAACAATTCATGACCAAGCTAATCACTAATAACAAATAACAAGTGATATCAATTGTAAAAAAAAAAATTAAAAAATTATGCACACAAATTTTTTTTTTCTAAATCAACTATCAATTTTTTTTTCCTTATTTGCATCGCGTTTCCCTTGCTAATGTTCATATTTTTTAAATACTTAAATAGTTTAAAATAGACATCAAAACAATAAAAATGTCAATTAAATTATTTTTTTTAAGTAGTGAAATTTTGATTTTGTTGTTTTAGTATAATTGTAGAGTGAGAATATTTATGTAGTATTCGAGAAGTCAACAAATAATTTAAATCAGTTGTTTTTGCAGCTACGAGCAGATTTGCTAGACAATATTGTTCAATTGGATATTTTTTTTATTTTTTAAAAATTTGATTTGAAATTCAATGTGAACTAGAAAGCTTTTTCATTAAATTCAGTAAGAGGTTAAAAAAATGAACACTTATTGAAAAAAGGAGTCGCTATGAAAAAATATATGACATAATAATTTTGTAATGATGTTAATTTAAGTTAATAGAGATTTTTAAATTGTGTTAATGTAATATAATTTTTTCATTTTAAACCTTAGACTCGTTTTTATTTAAGACATTCTTGAATACACCGTTTATTTGATAATTTTTTTGTGTTACGAATGCCTTAAAACTGGAGACTTATTAGTGTAATTTTCCCTAGCACACAGGCGCGTCCCTTCTTCGTCTCTGTTGGGACCACCGCACGTCCATGGATTTCTACCGACTCTCTCTATTTACTTGACGCAGTCTCTATTCTTCTTCTTCTTCTCCTCTCTCTCTCTCTCCCCCCCTCTCTCTCTCTATCTCCCCTTTTGAGTTTTATATGATTAAAAGCCTAGATTTCTGTCTTGTATTCTAGATTGTCTTGCAAGAATTGTTGGGTCCACTGTTTTGTAATATAGAAGAAGAAGGATGGAGGACAAAAANAACTATTGGATGCCTCTGAACAACGAATCGCGGAAATGAAGAACAAAATCAACAATGATCTTCAGTCTGTTTGGCAAAGAAATGAATAACTTTTATTCAAGTATTATATAAGATGACTACATATTAATCTTCCTGAATTGTCAAGTCCATGTCTCTCCCTNTTTCTGTCTTGTATTCTAGATTGTCTTGCAAGAATTGTTGGGTCCACTGTTTTGTAATATAGAAGAAGAAGGATGGAGGACAAAAAGTTGCAGGTATATCACGAGAGACAGAGATTGCAGTTTTGCCTCTTACACTCTCTCAACAATCTATTTCAGGTGCCCTTTAACTCTATACTTTGTATATGTGCGTTTCGGTGTGTTTGCTCGCTCCTTTTTGTGTATATAATTAATCAATTACAGATTACACTTTATTATTGACCAAGTTCAAAATTTTTGATACTCGATTTGGCTGGTGCGAAAGNAATTGCAGGTATATCACGAGAGACAGAGATTGCAGTTTTGCCTCTTACACTCTCTCAACAATCTATTTCAGGTGCCCTTTACCTCTATACTTTGTATATGTGCGTTTCGGTGTGTTTGCTCGCTCCTTTTTGTGTATATAATTAATCAATTACAGATTAGACTTTATTATTGACCAAGTTCAAAATTTTTGATACTCGATTTGGCTGGTGCGAAAGGAGTTAGGAGAATTATATAAATTACTAACATTCGGTGTTAAACTGTAAAGTTTGATATCCAAGAAAATAAAACACACCCCTTTTTATCTCTTCCCTATGTAAATCGCTAAATTAGTCTGAGGTTTTCCTTTCCGGAACAAAACAATGGAATTTGAAGCATTATTTTAGTGTTTGTTTTATTTTTCTCTGTAATGGGGTTGCAGTTTATGTTCTTTGATTGATTGGTTTCTTTGTTATGGTTGTTGAATTTTATATGTTTTAATAGAATCTGTGTTATATTTCAGGAAAAGGAGACATTCTCTAGGACAGATTTGAATGCCATTGCGGAAAAATTAGTTCTTAATGATCCAACCACGGGAACTTGGACTCCAATGTCTGTAATTTTCAAGCCTCATCATAATGCACTTACTGGAAATTACGATATAAATGTTTTAATAGCTGCACTTGAAGGAAAAGGGAAAAGGGTGATATGGCATGACCGGCGTAATGGAGCTTCTTCAATTGATCTTGATGGGCCTGAGGGTACATTAATGGGTATTGTGCTTAATATTCCAGTTAGAAGGTATGCCGGTCTTTGGAAAGGTAGACATTGGGTTGCTTTGAGAAGAATTGAGGGGGTTTGGTATAATCTAGATAGTGATTTTGCTGCTCCTCAGCCTTTTAACGATACACGAGAAGTTAGGGAGTTCTTGGACAGTATTGTTTCTGCTGGTGCTGAGGTTTTGCTTGTCATGAATGAGAAAGAGGAGTTTAACTTTGCTACTAATTGTACTTGGCAAGATTGACAAGCCGCTCTGTTGATGGCATACCATTAGACTAAACATTTGCAACATTTGATTGACCATGGGTGATATACAGAGTGGAGCAGAAGTTCAGATATCTAGCACTGAGGGTGCTGTTGCTACAGATAGTCAATAAGTCACTGTTGTTACAAATTTGAGCTGTCAGCATTGCCAGGATATGATGACCGTGTTTTGATGAAAATGTCATCTACAGCTCTAAAACCTTGGAAATTTGCTCCATACGTTTGATGGTTTACTGGTTAGTGCAACAATTTTCTACAGTTTGTACCTATGCTTCTCTTGTTCGTCATTGCATTTTGTCTGTTGACTTAATATAATTTTATGTTTGAAGGACGAAGTTTTATCCAAAAAGAGTTGCTTTGTGTGATATTGTATGGTTTTGAGCACTTGGAGCTTTCTTGCTTACTGTCAAGAGATTTGAATTTTCTATTAATTCATGCTGTAATAATGATCTGATAGCTGGGCTCTAATTTCCACATCCTTACCTTCTTGTTAGAGATCAGTCATTAAACACATTCAGATTTCAGAAATCACAAGAATGGTCAGGTTACTGTATTATTAGCATCAATTATATCAAACTTATTGGCGCAGAGGTTGTGAGATAAGGTGGAGCTATTTTGCTCCCATGTTATCTCAATTTTTTCTTTAATCTATCAAAACTGAAATCCAGCTTATGCTTTTGAATTGTCATTGGGAGCCATGTGGTCATTTTTCTGACTTGTCCCTTTTTTTGGGTCCTTTCCTGGATGGGGACAACAGATGTTTGGTTGAGCCGCTGAGGTTTTGTACCTCAATGTATGCAACCGTGAAAGCACTGGCTATCTGCAGTGCTGCATTTCACAGTTCTTCTATCCCTTTTCTAAACCCAACTTTTGACAATTTATGAGGATCCTCTTTATCACCCAGGATAACCAGTTGAAGCACGATGAGAAGCAATTCCTATGAGTTAGGCTCTGAACAGGATGCACTCTATTTGAGAGGTTTTGTATAAATTTTTAAGCTAGAGCATTCTGGTTGGGGATTGATCTTTTCTCAATTATTGCTTTCTACACTGAGCTTTGATAGTATTGGTCGAGTAAATTTGTGCTTAATCTTAGTGAGAAGTTGGATACTCTATCCTTTTTCGTGTAAGATAAGCTAGCTTTGAGAAATGTCCCGAAGTTGGTTGAGCAAGTGAAGGTGCTTTGAGTTCTGGCAGAGACTTTAGTGTTCTTGGACATCATCCACAATGGCATTACCCAGAACTGATCCTTCCATTATTAGGACACTAGGAGGGATGCCGTGGATACTTGACAGTATAGGTGTAAAGTGGCTGCTCTCGATCCCAAACTCATGGTAAGATGCTCTGGAGAGCGTTTACAATTGCACCATGCAATATATGATAAATGGTCAAACTCGGGGTTGGACGTAAGGTTTTGTGTTTCGTATTCCTCTTGTAAGGCTATTTTAACCTACTGTTGCTGCCCAAATGGTCCACAATCAGTTGTAATATTTACTATATACGGGAAAGATCACACTGGTATTTTATGTTGAAAACACTATTTAACACGGGGAAATCAGGAACAGGGATTGGTCAAAGAGGTACGTTATAAGCTTTTGTTTTACTGCCTTCCAGTTCAAAGAGGTAAACCCCCACTGTTAGCAACCAACCATAAGCAGAAAAACTTTTGCATGCATAAAGAAGGAATAGACCACCTGACTCGGTAATGAAGAAATCTCAGGACTCATATAGGGTGCATTAACCTTTTGTCAGCGTTATTTTGCACGAAGTCTCTATCTGTTTATATTCTCTTGTTCCAAGGACAGCATTTTAGTCCTCTTGGCAGCCACCCTTTCTGTTTTATAATTATGTTCACATGGCACAACTCAGCTGATACAGTGCCAATTGTTTGTTCTGTTCAGTTGAAGCTTGCTTAGGACAGAGCCATGGATAAGCATTTGGGGTACGTACTGCGTAATGATATAACAACAGATCTATTGATGTTGGTTACAGCAATGTGTGAGAGGGCAAAGTTTCGGGGTTCATCCATGAGTTGGAATTGTACTTCTNCGTACTGCGTAATGATATAACAACAGATCTATTGATGTTGGTTACAACAATGTGTGAGAGGGCAAAGTTTCGGGGTTCATCCATGAGTTGGAATTGTACTTCTTGTAAAAGCATCCAACTTAACACTAGTTTACAATTAATGTGGAGGTCTGTCAGGCATACTAATAAGGAAGGTTTGCCATTGCTAATGTGGGACAAACTCTAACAACCTCACGGCCACCCTACTCGCATGTGGGGAGGCAAGCAAACAATCATGGGCATCAATATGCACGCACACAATCAGAACCAAGCGCACTGAAATGAGGAAGCCTTCAACTTTTGGAAACATAACTCTATTATCCTGTTGAATGTTACAACTTGTAAATCAGTATCGAGTGGAGAGGCTCTCTAGAGTCTAGACTCATTTATTAGCTTTGGAAGCTTAACTTTTCTGTTCAGGAATGATAAATGTTTGGGTCCCAGGATTGAATGGTTAAGGACAGGAAATAAGCAAATAAAGTAAAATCAAAAGATGAAGTATGAGAAGGGTCTGGAGTAATTGAAGATTGTTCTTGCCTGAGGAATGATTATGTCCTAAACCCACATAATGAAGAGGCAAACATGACCTCTCATTGCTAAGAAGGTATTGGACTGATGAAGTCCCGACATGCTGCTGAACAGCTTCAACGTGCTGCCTGATTGATGGCTTTCCAGAAGAAATTGCTCTCAAGAGAGAAAGGAAAAGGTGCTACTTAGCCCTACATTAGCGGAAGTAAGCATCTAGAGAAAGTGGACAAAACAGGAAGTGGGAGCCTTCATTTTCTACACTATCTCCCCCCCTTTATCCTGTATCTTGTTATTATGGGAAGTACATTGCATCTTTAGTTACATCCTTCTCTTTAGTTAGAAATCTTAATGATAGGGAACAATTGGAGTTGTTGGTACTACTTTCTATGCTTGATAGTGTTTCCTTATCCCATAGTTCGTCAGATAAAAGAATTTGGGTAAGTATCCTTGGGGTGAATTTTCTTGCAAATCCTACTTTGAATCTTTAATTGATAATCCCTCACTTTTGCTATTTCTTCCATAATTTAAGATTTGAAAAGCTGACGTTCCTTTAAAGTCGTAAATTTGTGCATGGATAATTGTTCATGGTAAGATTAATGCTAATGATGTACTTCAAAGAAAGAGACCTTTGACTTGTCTTTTGTCACAATGGTGTGTGATGAGCAAAGGACATTGTGAAAGTGTAGGCCATTTATATTCTTGCATTGTTGTATGACTTTAACAATGGAATAAGTTTTTGTATTAGTTGGCATTTGTTAGGTGGCTCCCAAGATCTATGTCACCTATGTTTTGTTCGTCTTTTCGAGGTTTGGGATGAAGCAAAAAAAGAAAAACTCTTTGGCATTGTGCTTTTTTGCCACTATTTGAGTTTTATGGATGGAGAAAAATGCAAGAATTGTTGAAGATAAATCAAAGGAAGTTTATGGGCTGAGGAGTTGGCTTTTTTTCTTGACCTCTTTTTGGGCATCGCTGACTAAGGATTTTGAAGATGTACCACAGTTTAGTATACAGCAAGTTGGACTTCAATGTGTGGGCTGTAATCTGTTGTTATTATTATTTATTATGTTTCTTGTTTTGTTCTTTACAATTGTTAGAGGTGGACGAATTGTCGAATAGCTGGTTTTCCTAACCAAACTAGATGTTCCCAAGCTCAAAAAAAGTCAAATCATGATGGGATAAGGCAGTCTTCGGTACTGTATGAGCATAACTCTTCCTTATTTCTTAATGCAAATGTGCATCATGTATCTTTTTTGTCCAAGAGTCGCATAAAGAAGTTTTTTTTTTTTTTGCTTTGTAATAAGCTCAAAAAAGGGCGATAATATTTTTTTGTAATGAGATGCTTTGTTTGAAGGAGTGAAAAGTAAAATGGAGTTTCAGATGTTTCAATTGGCGGCATCCGCTAGGAAACTACTGCTGTTCTTGCAAAAGAATGTCATTTTTAAGTTTTAGGTGTAACTAATTCTCTTCTTGGAGTGGCCTGCTTGATGCTTGCTTAGTCTTTTTGAGTTCAATTTCTATCATTTTTCCGTCTGGGTTTACGTGGCACGTTTGTTCCCATAAACATTGTTTATGGTGTTTGGAATGCTGGATGAGCAAGCTAAGCATTGGATTTTTGTTGTCTGAAATAGTAAGCAGCCATAAGCTGAACAATCTATGTACAGAACGTGATCAGGAAGCTAAACAAGTGTACTGGAGTTATACTAAATTTATGATGCCTCTCTAGTAGAATAAAATTATCCAGCGGGGTTCCATATCAGTGGCAGTGGCAGCTTTATAAAAATATCCAGTCGCCCCCTGATCTTTAAATATTGATCTGATGGCCCTTAACATTTGGAGGCTGGAACCACAAGCATTCCTTTGCTTCTGGAAAAGATGAAATTGCCAAAAATGTACTTAAATCCTGTACCCGCAGGAAAATGGGAAAAATTGTGGCGGAGAACAAAAGAATGTTGTACGTCAATAGCATGTCCAGACATGTTAGTGCATTGCCTGAGTGAATGCTGTCGTCTTATGCTGCACTGCACCCATGTTGATTTATCAAGGCTTAGCGTGGGTGGCGTATTTTTTAGTTGGACTGAAATGGATCATTTGATCGTAGGAAATGCCTGTCATCTTTATGAGTTCTTTATGTATTTGATACGTGAGTTGATGTTAGATGCTTTTATTCCTTTCTTTGACACATAAGTTTATTCCAGATCGCTAAGACTGATGAATTTTTTGTGGCGTAGGGAGGACATTTGATTTGGTGCTTTGTAGCTAGAGCGGGTAATCGAACCGAGCTACTCAGGCTCAGCTCGGATCGGTTCGGTTTCAACTCCTGTTAAAGATGCATTTTGGTTCAATCCTCTTTTAGCGAGTTCGACAGACTCGGCTCGATTATCAGTCCTATTTGTAATTCCACCAATAGCAAATTACCAAAAGATTGATCAACTTGGGTAATCTTTTTTAAGGAGTAAAGGTTTTTTTTTTTTTTTTGTGCTTTTTGAAAAGAAAACATAAGGATTTTTAAAATAGCATTCACGAGTCCCTCCGCTCCTACCATTTTCTCTCCCTCAAAACTAAATAACCGAAAGGTTGATCAGTCGGAGCCGCTTTTGTTCAAGGATGAGGGAAAAAAAGTATTCAGGTTGCTTGTAATCAACCCAAGTCCCCACCTGCCCTCTCTTTCTGTGTCCCTGTATCCTCTTTTTACTTTTTTTGGGTGGATGACCCTGGAGGCACCACTTTTCAATTCCCTCTTATTCATTTATCTAGTTGTTTAGTTGTTTTTGATCATCATTTCCTTTGTTTTTTT